CCAAGTTGTCATGGGGCTATTTTTAGGTGACAGAGTCCTGTCTGTGTCCTCCTGCCTGCCCTACTTGAAGAACAAGTAGCTATTTTCTCTCCGAATAGTCGGGCATATCGATATGGCAAGCTGCAGAGTCATCGTCGGTAGTAATTATCTCTGTCCCCTCCACGCTGCACAGGACAGAATGACAGTGACTCACAAGAACAAAAAGCCGTGTCTCTGCGGGTGAATCAGGCAGTGCCACCCGCCTTGCGTAGCCCTGTCTGCTCGCTAGAAGCTCCTAGCTTCCCTCCACACACGCTGCCTGCCCCTGCCCTCTGCGGTGGGCAAGGTTCGCCATCCTGAGCCCTCCTTAGCTAGCTTTAGTTTCTTTCCAACCTCTGGAGAAACAAGAAGTCGAGCTGGTATGTAAATCCTCTGGTTGGTTGTGGATTGAATCGTGTCTCCCACAACCCCAACTCACAGGCTCAACTCACCACTTCCAGGACCTGCAAATCCGACCTTATTGTGAGATATGACCTTTAAGAGGTCATCAGAGGTTATTTGAGCAGCTTCTAATCCAGTAAGACCACTGTCCTTACAAGAACCTCAGGACACCCAGAAGGTGCCCATGCCAGGACAAGGGAGAATACGGTCACCCTCAAAACAAGGAAAGGCCTCAGTAGAAGCCAGCCCTGCAGTGCCTCGCCTTGGATTTCCAGCCACCAGAGCCAGGAGAGAATCAACTTCTATCATGTCTTTAAGACACCCTGGCCAGGTCACCTGATTGCAAAAGTTCCAGAAAACAGGACCATATGCCTTTGTGCTAGCTGTGTAGTTGGAAAGCCCATAGATCCAGGAGCCCACAGGCCAGCTCGCTTTTACACACCTTACTACGAGATGTTCAGTGAAATGCCATTGACAGGTATACACAGGAACAAGTATTGGGCTTTACCTGCATGTACATGTGTGAATGTGTGCATGCGCATGTGTGCATGTGCCCACAGATACCACCCTATGGACCAGGAGCCCTAAAGTGGATCTCAGTGCTGCACAATCTCCTTGAACCAAGCTGAACCACAGCTCTTTATTCTGTCTAAGTGACAGAATAGTGTGTGTGTGGGGGGGGTCTCCAACAGTCCAGACCCTAGTCCTGTCAAGCAAGCATGATGCTGACATGATCACATGTGTCACTTGCAATTTTGAATTCATACACTAAGACAAGGGGATGGTTTTGTTCTGTGGCTTTGTGAATTGCGGAGGCTAGGTTGTGCATTTCTTCTCTCTCTTCTCTCCTCTCTCTCTCTCCCTCCCCCTCTCTACCAGTGCTCTAGCACTTGAGCCACAGCTCCACTTTGTGTGTCTTCTTCATGGACGTGATTCCCACACAGACCACACTGAATGAACCACCGGCTGGAAGCAGCAAGGGGCTCAGGTGGCCGAGGTGAGGCTCTGCCTCCACTGATAGTCTTTCCTCAGGATGATACAGTTTACAGAGCCGTGCACTCAGGGGCTATGAGGAGAATGTGAGTGGACTCAGTGTGACGTCACTGAGCAGTGGGCTTTCCTAATCTGGACAATGACCTTGGGGAGACAAGTCCCCGGGGCGCTCATACCCTGTCTTCTCAGCTGGCCCCCAGCTCCGCACAAGCAAACAAGAAACATTAGCTGCTGTTGCTCTACTACTGCTATGATCAGCATCATGTCCATGCCAAGTGGTCTGATTAGTTCTGAGAGGACAGAGGAGTGACGACCTGCCACTCAGCCGCCATCTGTCTCCTGCCTCTGGCAATGTCTAATTAATTAAAAAGGGGGACACTCACGAGGTGTGCAGGTGTGAACTCTGAGTTGGAGCATAATCCAGTGGATGTGTTTGTGCCCTCCGGTCCACGCAGCTGCAGGAGCACGGCTCCCGGCTTGGCCTGTATCCACACCTGGAGAAGCAGGGGGGTCCCAGGCAGCCATCCACCACACGCCTCCCACCCCAGTGCCACTTCGTCTAGGTCTACAGAGTCCGTCCTCTGTAATCGTGGAGAATGCAGTTCTGGTGGATGATGATGTATACTGTGCAAGTGCTGTGTTCGCTTTACAGTTTCTGTTGGCTTTCAGGCAAATCTCACAGGCTTTGAACATCAAACGGGACATAGGAGCCAAGACGGTGTTCTTAGGGCTCACTACGCACTCAATGACCAAAGAATATCCTTCAAACATTTTTACCAGTTCATTTTAAAGGTCCAGGAAGCTCTCATCCAACTGAAGAGAGCTGAAAGGGTTCTTACAATACTTAGTCAAGTGAGGGTTTACTCTCCCACAAACAGGTAAGAGACTTGTGCCAGTTCCTACACAGAATATACCACATAAGAAAATGAGATGTCCACTTCATTTCCTATGCCTTACAACCTGCAAGCGATTTTGGCAGCATGGTGCGGGTATTTATTTAGTCTAATAAAAGCCTCACAAAATGACTAAGGTTTTTTACATGGGTGATAAACCTGAACTTTTGATTTTGTACACAAAACTGTGAAGCAGATTTACTTTTTAACACTATTTCAGCAGCAAATGCTTAAAACTATTTTGCGGATTTGCTAAAGATATAGAAACAGTATTTTAAAAAAGAAACACTATTTCTCATTTCAGAAAGTAAAGCTGAGCAGTTCTCCCATAACTGAAAGTCAAGGAGCCTTTCCTATCTTTGCAATGTAAGAAAAGAAAGCACAAAGAGGAAATCTCAACAGAGGAACATAACTGCAATGTAACAATTCTTTTATAAAAAAGTAATTATTGCTTTGGTGGCAGTCCCGGTGCTCTCTGAATACCTAATCAGGTATTCTGATTGCTTTCCCAAAGCACATTACCTTTAACTATGGAAGTAATTTGGTAACTACCATGTATGCAGTGAACAACCTGCAAAAAGAGAATTTGCAAAAGGACACAAAGGCACACTAATGCTCAGGTTACCACAGTCCTGCTCCTCGCAGAGCCCTAAAACATTAATGACTACTCATTTCTTCAAGTCTTTCCCTGCATATTGAATATTTCATGTGTACTGTTTGTTACTCTCTTCCGGAGAACTGTATGTTGAAACCAGCATGGAAAAACGCAAAGCAACTGAACTGGTGTCTCCAACACTGCTAAGTTTTTAACCAGCTTTCCAGATGTTTAATAGATAATTTAACACAATGTGCTAAGCAGAAGAAACTGAGTGCAACTAAGATTTTTATCAAAATAATAAGTAAAAGTGGTGATAATTACACGCTCAGACTAGCATGCAGACTGAATGCATGACTTCTGATTTCATTACAAAGAAAGAGAATACATACCGAGACCTTTCTGTTTTAATAGAAGTATTTAGGTACCAATGCAGATGTCCTTATTCATGACATTAATGAAAAAAATGGGGAAAATCAATTTGCTACATTACTCTTTTAAAAACAACTTTCTCACCCTTTATTTAAAATCACTTCTAGTAGGAAGGCTGCAGGCTGAGATCTCTCCCAAGTCTCAACTGTTGTCTTTCTGTAAGAATTTGTCCCCAGAGTCATCCTTGCTATGAAGAAGATCAGCCTAAGTTCTGATTAGCAATGATCTTACAAAGAATAACCGCATTTCTGTGGAATACACTTCCACATCATTGATATAAATCCTGCTTCAAAATATTCCGCTTCCCTCACCCTGGCTTGTGTTCAATCGCATGAACCTTGAACCCAATGCCCTATTTCTGCAGCTGTTAAATCCATCCTACTTTTAACTCAAGAGATATGACTGTGAACCCTGGAGAAGCTGGCCAGGCAGGGTGGCTGGCTCAGGGATCCAGTGACCTTCTCTGCTTGAGAAAGGATTCTATTTGTTTGGAACCCCAGGGGTTCCACCTCTAGTGAAATTGGCAGAACAAACTTCATTAGATTAGTGTGAAGCATCCTGCAGGGAGGGAACTGAGCCAGGCAACAGCAGAGCTGATGCTTCTCCTCCAGCAGCTGTGAAAGACCACAGGGAAGGTCACCTGGGGTCTTCTAAAGAAAACAGGGGTTCTCCATACATCTACGATGACCATACAGACACAGAACTTTATCAAGTGTTTAGTATTAGTTTGGGAGAAGGCCACCGTTCAAAAGCATACATAAAATAAAACCGCCAGGCTGATGAACAGCCAGCGGAACCCTCTCTCAGAGAGCTCATTCATCCTGCCCCAGGGTTTCTTCACCATAAAGCTGCCTCCCTCCCCCCAGCCATGGGTGAGACTCAGGTGATCTTATTTCCTTTCTGTTTTTGGTAAGGATTGTTGGCCCTGATCAATCTCCCCCATCACAGGGGCAGCATAAAACAAAACAAAACACCAAGTCTGAAAGACTCTGCCATCTATCCTGATCTATTATCCTGGAAGGGGGTGGGCGCCAGGCCTGGTGGCCCTGCCCTGTCACTTACAGGAGGGGTCAACCCGGAGGTATTTGGAAAGCACACCTCTCACTTCACTGGACGGGGACCCCGGGCCAGGCTGGCCTCGGTGGAACCCCTGCACAGAACCCCCTTGATCGGCCTGGGGAGGAAACCTGTGAGTTGGAGGGTCCGCTGAGTGGACCCCTTCGATCCTGAGCTGGGGGAAAAGTTCACACCTTCCTAGCGCTGGCTCTGTAGGGACAGGGGGTGCGCAGGCATACCACCGTGGGGGAGGGCAGGAAAGGAGAGGAGAGTGGAGAAGGGGAAAGGGAGGGGGGCAGGGGCAGGGAAGCAAGGTGGGAAGGACATGGAGGCAGGCGAGAGAGGGGAGGCGCCAGTGGAAGAGATGCTGTGTGGGCAGGGGAGGCAGAGAGAGATGGGCAGGCTGGGGAGCCCGGGCATGGAGGGAGGCGGAGAAAGGAAAGCCCCGCTGGCGAGGGAAAGGGTCTCGCGGCGGGGAGCTGCGTGGCCCAGGCCCCTCACGCTGAGGTGCTGCGGTTCGGCTGGCGGGTCACCCGGCACCCAGGCCCCATCCGCGCGCCCCGACCCCCCGCGCCCCAGCCCGCGCCCCAGCCCGCGGGCGCGCGCCTTACCTGGCCCTTGACCAAGCTGGCGGCGAACTGGCGCATGACGGCCTCCACGGTGTAGGCGCTGGACCAGCCGCGCGGCGTGAGCAGCTCCATGCAGATGGCGCCGCCGTCCAGCACGTAGCCGTTCTCCAGGCGCGGGCTGAGCACCCGCATGAAGGGCGGCGAGAAGGGGAAGTTGTCGGGGAAGGTGAGGTTGAGCAGGATGAACTCGGTGTTGGTCTCCTTCATGTCCTGCCACAGCACCGAGTCCTTGTCCACCTGGTGCAGCTTCACGTTCCAGTCGAAGAGGCTCTCGTCCACCAGCTCCACCGAGATGAAGCGGTCGCTCAGGCGCGCGATGTCCTGCAGCTCCTTCATGAGCCGCCGGCTGCG